ACAGTCAAGATGCGTTGTAGGCTACGTTCTTCAGGGAAGGGATCATGATAGTCCATTCGAAGCACGGCAGTGGTGGTCTCCGACAGGCGTCCCATTTTGAGGTCTGTAATTTTGAGGTATGTCCCTCGAGCCTCCTTTGCGGATTGGCGTTATCAGTCCAACTTTTAGGCCAACAGGAATAATTCCCTTAAAGTGACTCGAATTTATATCTAGCACTATTATTTCTCTTGAATGTCATAATTAATTTTATTAAACCTTTAAACTCGTGATTATCATCCTCTGTGACAATATATTACTTAATTATCTTGATCTCGATTGTTTATTTCGTATTTCAACATTTCACTATTAAATAACGATAAAATATTCGGTCATTACATTTTGTCAATTCTTGAGCACGGATAACGCTCGTGTAATTTCTGAATGATTAAAATTCAGTAAAGGAAGAAATTATTTTTAAAATCGTACCAGCAAATATTGTGAATTTTGTTTAGAACGCCAGTGGGGCACCATTTGTCAATCGCGTGTCAGAGTTATTTTTCTGAACGACGTCGTGGGGTGGACATCTACCAAGGGGTAAGACACCAAGTTCTTCACAATTCAATTTTTTAATGCAATAAAATATTTCAGTGTAACTGTCATGATTGAATCATTTGTATATTCTGTATTCTTTTGATATTCTTATTCCATTGTGTTCATGTCTGTATTCTAATAACCTTCTAACAAGGACAGCTGTTGGTTGGCGGATTCTATCTTCAGCCCGACTTGCTTCAATAAATAACCGAAACTCAGGATCCTTCATTCCACCCTACGTAATACATATTTCCTGCAATCAATAGTAAGAGGAACGGTTACTATCTTCTAAATCTCAATTCTCGACCCCTTAATTAAGCAACACCCTCTTCTAAACCCTCATCATCGAGGCTTTGCAAGGCATTGTGAGCGGAGCCTTCAGAGTTCCAATACACTTCTTCAACAACCTGTCGTAATTCCATCCGGTCCTTGTGCTGAGAACGTCGCCAGTTCTTTGATACTTATTTCCATATCTTCTGGTCCAAACTTGATGTTCTACAACCCCCTTCCACCTGGCAGCTCCTGAAGAACTTCGATTTCATTCTCCTCCCTTGAGTAGCAGGGGTTAAGGTGCTTATACACGGGGTGACTAATCGCGTCGATTAGTTGAGTCGACTACAGTTTTGCCGGCTGAGGTCCGCCAGCGCCAGTGCGAGTTGTCGAGTAAGGTGTATGCATGGTGGAAGCAAGCGAGAGCTCCACAGTTGTGCGCACCACAGTGGCTTAGAGACAAGCAAGAAAGAGAGCGAAGCAATTATGCATACTAGGAAGGCCGAGGCGGTACTGGGCACACTTGAGAAGTTGAGACTTGACTGGCTTGAAACCACTTGAGGTGCTTTGCGTGCAATGCACTAGCTATATAGTCGCCTCTGAAGACGTTAATTATCACAAATATTAGTTGAGTCGACGCAACTAGTCGCCTCGTGTATAAGCACCTTTACTGAAGACTGATTCAAACTGCGGTCCCAGTAACTCACACATGCCCTGGTCATCTCCGACAAAAACAACATTATCTTACCGGACCCACTGGCGTCTTTATTTTATCCTTGGACTGGGCGTATATGAAAAAATACTACGGGTCCTGCAACCTGAGTTCGGTTTCTGTGTGAAAATCTACTAGTCTCTGTCTCCTCAGACACTAGTGGATTCAGCTATTTGTTTATTGAATCGTGTGCGTTATCTCACGAGGATTCGTTTGTCTCCGGGAATACTGCAGACTTTGGGGCCCATTTTTCTGCGTGTATGACGCACACATACCTGTCGTCTGACATAGTTTTGTATAAATTTCCTCTGCATTAATCTCGTGAAACTCTTCTCTCCAATCAGTTTCGTCAAGTTTATTCCAAATTGCCTCCCAATCCGTTCTACGATGGTGGAAGTTGATCGAGTCCGGCCAGTCCCTTCTGGGGTATGGCCCTGGGCTAAGTATCAGTTCCAATTGTATCCACCACCAACCATGCAGGCGCCGGCGGTGGCCTGACAGTGAAGTTTCTTCAACCTGATCGTCAACCGCCATTCTTTTATTATTTGTATAAAGAGATCAAAGATTTGTGTTCCCTTCTCGGCAACCGTACTTGCTGATTGAGCAGGTGTAAAAAAATTATTCTTTGAAAATTTGAGACAAAGACTTAAGGCTAAAGTTGGAATAGTGATATGTGCAGGTAACGTGATACAATAACGCACTTCTTGAGCAAAGAATGCTGAAAAAAATAGAATAGAAGTGTCGGCACTGGAGAAATAGGCCCATGGCCTGTTAAAAAAAGGAATTGATGTAGAATAAGTAGTGAATAAATTTACAACTTGAAAGTTTGAATTTGAATTAATTTGAAATTGTAAGCCTTAAACTAAATCCAACTTCCCAGCTGACTAATAAATGATTTTAAGAGAACAGTAAATAAACAAAACGAAATTACACGACATTCATAAAAGCCAAGGATTATAGAAACAGGTTTGCAGCAAGATGGTAGAAATACTAGGAGGTCGATGCAAGTAAGTTTTCAAACGGTTAAGAAATGGCTGATATAACTGGCCATCGGCAATAATAGCTCTAGAAATGGCAATCTTTTGAATCGAGATTTGAACACCCTAGCTAGGTTGTCAATGGCGGCTAATATCGTTTGATAAAATCTATAACTGATGCTGATGACGACCCCTAAGCCCGCGGCAGAACATCTGATCTAAATTCTAGACTAATACTTATTCTTCGGATGAAGTTAGAGAAGCGGATTCAACAACTTAGATAATTCAGTTAATACTAGATCTTATAAACAAACCCTAGCCTATTAAAAATTGACGGTGAGGATTGAGGAATTTCTCACTGAAAAGTTACGAAGATAAATTCCAACTCGTTCAATTTATTGTCCGATTAATTTTTTATCGTGCAAAGGATAGAAGATATATCTCTCGAATGGCTCAACCGAGCAGTGAGGCTGAAATAATTTATAGTGTATAATCTCGTATTGTGATGTATAGATACCGTAGTTGGTATAGCGATGTATGGAGACCATAGATACCTAGCAGCTCCAGCCCACGGACGAGAACAGTTATACCTGGGAAGTGAGTTGAGAAGGTGGGTTGACTACGTATAGGCGTTGACCTCAGCGTTAAGAATAAGAAGAAAACGTATTTGTGTTAACCTTCATGAAGATTTATATTATACAATTACAAGCAGACGTACATCAAAATGACTTAACGCTGTGCTTATTTCTCGGTCTTGCGACCGAGAAATATTCTTCAACGGATCTGTAGGCAAATTATAATTTTTCCAAAAATAATATTTTCGTTGCGTTCGTTAAAACATTTTGCGGGCTTTTATTTGATTTTATTCGTGGGCTATTTTTTAGCTTGTAATTTTGCCCGCAGCAGAACCAGTTTCATCACAATGCTCTTCATAGCTGAACCAGCTCCATGAACGCTTTAAAATATTATGATAGGTAACCTCAAAAATCGCTAAATTTTACGAATAACTTTTTTAAGTCTAAATATGCCTGCAAGTTTCAATGAGCTCTTGATAGGAACGGTTTTCAAGATCCAGATAGAAATAACGGAGCCGGGTTAAAACACTCGGCTACCGGTCGCTCAACGGTAAGTAAAATCTTATCCCGCCAAGCCTGTTCAATGTGTGCATGGCGAAATAAGAAACTCGTGCGATGATGCCAGTTTACTACATCAAATTTCTAAAAAGAAAATGAAATTAATTATATAGATTAATGGCACAGGAAATTTAGTTATAAGACTCCCGTTTTTTATGTCGATCACGCTCCATACTGCATTCCAGACAGCCGGTTTAGCTGATGCTCTGCAGTCTCCCTCACTCGTCTGTGTTGGAGAGCGTGAATATACCTTATCTACGAATTTTTTATAAAGCCACAGTTCTTCAATAGAACGAGTCAACTCAATCTCATGGCAGAAATCTGTTCTTAACAAACACTTCTGTTTGGTACTTTACTTTAGGCGAGACAAGACGTGAAAAGAAGCTTTGTACCGATTAAAAAAAATAGGACAAATTTCAGCGTTCAGTTGTAATCCAACGCAATTGCGAGACGAGACGTGACGGACAAGACAGAAGCTTCAAAATTTTTTATGACAACCATAACAAAAAGAGCCAATCAATTCCTAAATGACTTAATGCAAACCCGATACTTACTAGGCCGATGAAATTATAGGCGACCAGTTGAGGCCGTCAATACTGCAGTTCCTCACTTCTAACCTGCGAACAAGCAATTACAGACACTACTCCTTTGAAGAACTCGTTTGGTCCGTGATTAATTTTAATGTTTCACACGAGGGACGTTTTTAGAAGTAGGCTGAACAGTAAAATTATTCTGCCTGCCGTCGTCTGCAACTTTAATCTTCAATCTGCGCGTTCCAAATGTCTTGTTTTGTCTCGTATCGCGATGACATTATGTTTGCCTAAAAAATTTACGACCTGTCTTATTTTCACCTATCGCTCTCGTAATCTTTCATATTATTCGAGCGATTAATTTTATATTAACGGTCATAAGTATTATCCCGTTGCATAATTTAATTGCAGTGTAAAATTTCTAAGCTTTGACTCGTTATTTTCCCGTTGTGCTTGTTCACTTTTATTATTGTGAGGCACAGGAGTCCAGTTCTTCAAAGGTACAAACAAGTGAACAATGATATTTTCTTGACTGATCTCAGGGATTTATTCGAAATCCGAAGACAAATTTTCTAGTGTTCTGCTCCCATTCAAGTACACGGTACTTGCATCGGATTTCTGCAAATGTCCACCGACTGGCATGTCACATTCAAAATAGACCAAGAATTGAATAATTACATTTTAAGATTCAGCTCAAAATTTCAGCTCAAAACAATTTCCCTAATTTTCAACAATTGTAACACAAGCGAATAATTTGAATATTTTAGCTTGAAAATTATGTAATCATTTGTTTTTAGTAACTAATTTTTTTAAATAACTACAATAATATTTACAATACAATAATTTTCCCCAAGCTATTTGATAACAATAGCGATGACTCGACAAAGCCTATTTGTGTGTGTGCTGGGCATGGGCCTCCTGATGGGGGCTGTGGGGCAGACGCCCGAGCTCGGCTTCTGCGGCGTCTACGAAACGTCGGGGAACTTCAGCGCTGAATTAATAGCGCAGGTGAGTCATCGTTAGCAGCTAACAGGTTAATTTGATGCTCACGTTAGCAGCTAGCCGGTGCATTTAATACTCAACGTTAGCAGCTAGCCGGTGCATTTGATGCTCAACGTTAGCAGCTAGCCGGTGCATTTGATGCTCAACGTTAGCAGCTAGCCGGTGCATTTGATGCTTGTCTCTTATACACATCTAGATGTGTATAAGAGACAGCTGTTGCTTCGGTGGCTTGATGTCAGTTGGCTGATTGATTCATATCCAGGAAAGGAAATGACACCTATGGCTTTAGGCACTTAATCACACAGGCTAATATGCCCTCTAGCGTGATTACGAGCGGAAAGGAATAGATATTGAATTGTGGGCAAGGGCTATGTAGCTGTCTCTTATACACATCTAGATGTGTATAAGAGACAGCAGCTAGCCGGTGCATTTGATGCTCAACGCTAGCAGCTAGCCGGTGCATTTGATGCTGAACGTTAGCAGCTAGCCGGTGCATTTGATGCTGAACGTTAGCAGCTAGCCGCGCGGTTCATTTAATACTCAACGTTAAAAGCTAGCTGGTACATTTGATCCTAAGCACAAACCACCTATCAGTATATTTGGCATCAAACTTATATAGGCAACAGGTACATTTTCTACACTATTTCGAGTGAGCAGTTAAGTTTTACTTCGCTTCTAAGATTAAAAAATTTTCTTCTTCGCCTCACATTAAACTTTCAAACTGAAACGACAAAGATAGAGTCATTACATAATACTACGAAATTGGAATGGATACTACAAATACTACAAATTGCACTTATGGATAATTTGATGTATACAAATAGAAAAAACTCGACATTCTGGCCTGCTAGATCGAGACTCACATGGTTCTTATTGCGGTCAATGGTGTAAGAGATATACCAACTTGGGGTACAAAGCTGTGGTACAAATATTAAATGAAAGATTTAAAGAAAGATAAAGAAACTTTATTGCCCCACAGTTGCAAGGACGAGATAATACTCGTCAAACAAGGCTAAGCATAAACGATCTCGCTTCCTAACAAGCAACTACAGACAAGCGTTTTTACATTTATGAAGGTAATATCTAATAAATTCTAACATATTTATTCCGGGCCAGCCAAAGCCGCAATTTTAATTGCAATGGCGTAGCCTCTCCTTGCAGCGCACGGCCGCCGCACGCACGGGACGTTCAACGGCAATCGGCACCTCCGCTTCATCAGCGGCCTCGTCTGCTGAAACAGACGATAAAGATAATTCTAATGGGTGTAATAGATTAATTGAATAATCTCCTACAGACTTGTCTGCTTCAATAAGTTCAACTGATCTGTTATTGCCATCGTTTCCTCTAAATAGCTTAACAACTCTACCAAGCTCCCAGAATGGCTTAATTTGAGTTTCTGAACTAATCAAAAAATATCTCCTACTGTCATTTTTTCTCCAAACCATCTTAATACAAGTTGTTCCCTGTCTCCCGCAAAGACAAATGGTACTCTTGATACAAGAAGTCCAAAAGCGATTGTCTCTCCTCGCTAATGACGCTCCAAGCGGCTCCTCAATACCAACAGCCCTTGACGATATACATATCTAACTGCGCCTGAAAAAAACGGCCTTTTTCCGGCATCAAACATCAGGCAACTTTACGAAGATATACATCCTTGAGATCTTCTAAACTTCTTCAAGTGAGAAGGCGAGAATTAATTGCAAACAGTACACCTGATAACTGTGAAATGAATTCACAGTAGTCTAAGCATTTGCGACCAATAACAGTCTTGGACCAACAACCTTTAGCGATCCTGCTGATCATGCGTTCCCAAGATAACACAACCCATGCAATGCATAACGGGATTCTAATATGCTTCATGTTATTTTATGGAGATAATTGTTGAAGTCATCGCATGCGGAGTTCCCTCATACTTTAGCTAACTTAATGAAAGTGCTAGCATTGTCGCTGTAAATAGCACCAGAGATACCGCAGCAGGTTCAAAATATAAATTTCTAAAAAGATAAATGCCTGTAAGAAATCACTACCTGACATGCTAAGTACTAACTCTAAATGAATAGCTCTAATACTGAGGCACGATAGGGCAAAAATATACATTTTAGCAAAAGAATTTCATAGCTTGACGTTAAAATGACCTAGGTAATCTACACCTACTCTTTTGAAAAGTCGCATGTTATTGACCTTACCGCTAACAATATCGGTCTTTCGAGTGTACTTGAAAGCCCGACAGATCAACCTCCGACACGTGATGCACTGCTTTAAGACGCGTTTATAATGACTGAACGACCCTCGGCAATCCAAATCCCCGAGTTAAGCAGAAAATTTAACGTAGAACCAAGTCCTAAATGCTTGCATATCTTAAGGGTTCATCTCAAATGAACAAAATAGTAAGATGATTATTTGTGGGCAAAAGAAATGGACTTTTAACATCATCGACGAGGTAAGTGCATTTTTCGAGCCTGGCACGTGAGCGTAGCACACCGAACTCGTAAAAAAAACAAGTTCAAATTATTCACCAATAGTGGAGGTTAAGTTTTACCTTTGGACTGTAAAAATTTAATTTCAGGCCCGAAGTAAATAGACTGCTCATGAGTTATCCAATATAATGTAGCTTTTTGCTCCAGAAAACATCCAGAACCCGGTCATCAACAGCTCCAGAATCGTCCAGTGCCCGGCGCTTAAGCTTGGCAAAAAACTTAAAGACCATAGTGTAGTTATACGCATCATATTATGCAGGTCTGAATATTTATCGGTAGGAAAAATCAGTTCGAGCAAGTCTGCAACCGTTGGGTCAGTTGGAAGAGTACTTTTATCTTCTCGAACCTTCAAAGCAAAGTTAAAGGTCAAGGCCCCATTAACTGTTAACAAACAACCAAGGCCACGAAGGGTCCAAACATTGGCCGAGGAAATAAAATCTGGACCATGGGTCCAGAACTGAAACTTCTTTTGCAAATCTGCAATATCAACATCTCTGATCACCAAGTGTGCCGGATTGAGTTCTGTTGGAATTAATCGGAACTTTGCGTCTAGCCCGTACTTTTTCTCTAGTGCAACTCGAAAATTTGATATGTCTTTTTAACTCTATTTTATCCAAAAACATTCTTGTCATTCACCTTTTTCGTCAAGATCCAAGAAAACACAATCTGTGCATCAATGCCAAATGTTACTGATGACATTTTAAATTTCGCACTCTCCAGAATAGAGAAGGGACACTCGAAAGCGAATAACAAGAAAAATAATTATAAGGTTGGAACAAATTTGGATTTAATCGCAGCAATCTTATTCTTTGAGAAAATCGAATTAGAGGTACAATGGCTATCAGACTATTGTACTGCATACACTGCACAACCGTAAGATGCCTTTCTAGGCGTCAAAAAATAAGACCAAAGATACTTCCTTCCTGGAGTCAATGGTTTTACGCTGGAAGGAGAAATTACTCAATTCTTGTTAATTGGAGGATATTGCCTTCCATTTCTGACTATGCTCCTTATTTAGAAAGTCGTCCCTCGCATATTTCGCAACCCCGAGTTTCTTCAAGAATATCTTGCAAGATACTAAAGCGGGAGTCAAAAGTCCCAAAGTATCGAACACTGAGTCAATCAAGACACTGTTTCTTTTTGCTGCAATTATTATACTCCGCAGGGACCGGTTATTGGATAGGAGGCTCTAGTCATCACTAAGATTCTCCCTGTATTAAATTGCAGTCTAAAAATTGGACTCAAACCAGCCCAATTGGAGATTGCAGTCTAAAAATTGGGCTGTATTTGAATGAGGCAGCGTTTCCAGGTATTAACATTCTCTTACTTAATTGAAGGGCAAACCCGAGATTCCCACACGCAAAAGCTCCTGAACAAGTCTTCCAGTTTTTATTTCAGTAATAATGGTCTTACATACCGAGTAAGTGCCTTTTTTTGAAATTATATCTGCTTTGATCATTAAATGATCAAGCCTGAAACCTCCTAAGGGCTGAAACCCTTCCCTTCAATAAAATGGTGGTGATATGTATTATTTGGTGCAACGTTTTAAACATAGGAACTAAAATATATGTTCTTAATCAGCATTATCGCATGTACAATATGAATGTAAAACCTAGGTTTTTCCGAAAGATTTACCTCTCGAAAATTTCTCCTCGGGTTGCATTCACAGCAAGAGGTGCAGTTGTGTTGCTTTGAACGATGTTATCGCTGTTCTGATCAGTACTCGTGATTCATTATTAAGCGAGTTGAAATTTTCAATTCTTTGAGCTTCGTCCAAAATTTAATGTCGTGGAAATAAAATTTTACCCTTAAATGGCTCATTATTGATGCCCACTTTTATTGTTAATTGTTAGCTGTTTTCTCTTTGTTAGTACGCAATATTATTGAGTCCATTCTATTTAGATTTTGCATTTTATGATACTGCAATGGGTTTTATTTCGGCTGATGACAGGATTCTGGTCTTGGAAAAATCATAATAACACCTTTTACGATATAAAAATCTATAATGAAACACGACTGCATGCTCCTCGATTCGCTAGATTCTTCAATGAAATGAAAATTTAAAAAGATTGGCCTAACTTTTGAGTATATTATAATAAACTTTACTTCACCGTACGAGTACTTCGAGCTCCTATCAAAATTTACGGTTCGGATGTTAGGAAATATTCTCCCGGCTCAAAAAAAATTATTTAAATTGCTTCAAAGAATTATCAGGAAGGAATTTTATTCAAAATTTGTAATTTTTCATTGAAATTTTACGTTACAGATTGAAAACAGCGAGGCACGCTTTTCGTTCATTCTCTCATCAGGCTCGTCTGGGGGCTGTAAAAAACTCCAGCTCTACTCCACGGGCATCTACTTCTACCAGACAACGGACACGTGAGATTGCAAATACCAGATTTCCTTTAAAAAGTCTAGTCGACGATCCTGTGAACAGTAACATTTATTATGACCTTGCAGTGGAAACTTTTATGAATAGCATCTGACAAATGTGAAAATGAATTCTAAATCTTGTAAATATCGTGATGATACGTTTCGAAAGATACCAGCGACTCGAGTACAGCCGCTGTAGTAATCCAAATGATAGCAATAGCAATTATTAGCAATTGCTGGAAGCCTCACGAAGAAGCATTTTCTCGTGAAATGTTCTGAATATGAAAGTGTTCACATCGCTCTAAATAACCTCGCAAGCAAAAAAAGTAAACCATTAATCATGCTGGCAGAGATGTATGTTTTCAATTAGCAACCAGATTTTTGTAATTGACTTTGTACTTTCAGAACATTGGAATTTTCCCGTCTTAAACAAATTGATCGCCATGGATGAATAAAATCCATTTTTGACTTTAATGCAGGCTTGGCAATCCTCTGAACGTATCCAGCACGGTTACTATGAAACCTCACTCATCCTCTAGCCCGGCCACCATAGCTCTTTCTGGACTTCCATTTACAGGTCGGTGGAAATAATATTATACATATTGTATTTTATTGGGCCTCCCTGACATTGTGGTAACTCTGAACTAGTATTAAATCATGATTGAATTTTGAAAATTCGATCATGGAACATTACCTTAAATTTTGATCCGAATACGGATGACTGCAATGCGAGTGAGCAGTTTTGCTAATGAAACTACCGTCAGATATAATCGTAAAGGGTGAATGAGTGAATTTTTGCGAGATCCTACAAATCGTAGAAGTAGAACTGAGCACCTCATTGAATAAATAGTTGAAGTTATTAGCTCATATTGAATCCATGTTCATATTCAAGAAGGTTTAACGCGACCTTTTTCATCGAAGAGTTGAATGATGCATTGAAAAAATGAAGTTTCCTCTTAAATATTGATCATGTAAGGTATGCCGTATGAATAATAATCAAAAGTTGTGAATCATAATTTTCTTATTACTGTAATATTTTTTGAATATCAAGCAAAATTATGATATCTTCGAAGGCTGTTTAAAACTGACCAGTTATCGCCATGCAGAACTAGGAGCTTTGCTGGGCTCGGTAACATTCAACGTCCTGGTTGCTGAGAAGGAGAAGCTCGTGCTGCTGTCGTGCTACAACGTTGGGCTTATCCGATTTCGTGAGTCTTTTACCGTCCGCTATTTCTAAAACATTAACTTCATGCACCAGAAGGATCGTGAATGATCTATTAACCTGTTCCTCATGAATAGCTAGAAAAACTCTTCCCGAAACACAGTTTGAAATGATCTGGCAAGGCAGCTCGTTAACTAGATAGATCAGTGGTAATAGGCAGCGTGGGCGCTGACCACTCTCTGTGCGTTTACGAGAAACGGGGGCTGCGGTGTGGTTATTCCTTTTTTTGTGCGAGGAGTACCAAATGCCAATCTTAGCATCGCATACGTAAAAATATCAATCAAAATGCATAATCTATAATGATATGATATGCTCATTGATCAAATCATGCTCATTCATGAGAAATGATAAGTAGGTCTATAAAAAGTAGCACTTTTGCTTGTACACGATAATGTACAGTATCTATGGGAAGAGTTTAACACGTAGAGTGCGACATGACCTACCATGGTTGTCAGATGGTCTCTTTTCCGGAGAAATTCCAGGATTTCGTTTTTTTCGATTCGTTATTTATGTAAATTTATTTATAAAATTTTGATTTTTCAATTCGTTGGCTTTTTTTAAATTTACGTTCACTTCGCCATTGTGTGTTACACAGTACATAATAGTGAAATTGAATTTTTGCACCGCATTCTACAAATATACCAGTAATTATTGAATTGTGGGCCATTTTTTACAACACTTCTCATTAACTTCACTTCTTGTTTGTTTGTCTGTCTGTCTGTCTGTCTGCTACAAATCTTATAATCGATATTTAACACACTTCTACCTGTCCAATCGATCTGAAATTTGGCACACTTGCATAACGTTGGAGACAATGCATGTGAATCAATTCACAGAATAAATGATTTTGGGAATTTAAAAAAAATTTTCAATATTAAAAAATTACAAATAATTTTGTCAGCTACAAATCATATTATTGATATTTGATACACTTCTACCTGTCCAATTGATCAGATTTTGCACACTTGCGTAAAGTTGGAGACAATGCATGAATCAATTGACAGATTAATAATTATATAAATTAAAAATTTTTTTTACTAATAAAAAAATTAAAAATAATTTTGTCTGCTACAAATCTTATAATCCATATATGACAATTTGACCTGTCCAATCGATCTGAAATTTTGCTCAATTGCACAAAGTCAGAGACAATGCATGAATCAGTTGACAGAATAAATAATTTGATAATTTACAAAATTTTGATATCTTAAAAAAATTCGGAAAAATAATTTTCTTTAATATTAAAATAAAAATTTCGAAAAAGTATTTTTTTTTAATATTTGAAAATAAAATTAGAAATTTATTGTACATGTGTAACATCCAAGACACTGGATTGTTCAGAAGTGTTGTCTTTAAAAAGTAATTTTTAAACGCGGATTATTACCTTTTTACTTATGAGACTTGGCCGTTTTTGAGGCCAACTGGCAACCCAGCGACCCGTCGGTGGGCCGTATCATGCCCAACGTGTTAATTATTTTTTTTAAGTGTAGAAGAACAACCCTATTTCAGATGTTTGTAAAGTAAAATTATTTCTCCAGATATCAGGTAATCAATTTTTTCAAGTAGTTTCGAAACTATCACGTACGAAGAAGTCTTATAAAACCCAATGTAGAGATTGGCCGTAAATTTTTGGGACTTGATCATTTTCGGCCATTACCAAAAATCATGCCTTGATGCCTTGACGGCAGACGCGCAATGCTTCCTCGTCCATTGCATGCAGGTGAGAGCCAGAGGTGCATGGAAACAAAAATGGAAGACACGCTCTCTCCGAAGATTAAGAATACCTTGCTTGGCCACTTCACACAATTTTTGTCGTTCAGCGGACAAATATTTTTTTCTGACACATCTATTATATTATGCCTATATATGGCTAACACAATTTCACTTCATGAACGCATTAGGTTGTCGAGCGCAGCTTTGATCGTACTAAAAAATGAGGCTATTTTTTTGAGGTCCAAGAATTTTACTCATATATTTGCCAAGAGACCAATGTTTAGTGTGTAGCCTCAGCATATGAAATGCAGTGCTCTTCAGGCCTCTAGGATTCGAAAAAATGGCCATTTACGCAGTTGTGGCCACTAATTTCTATCGCTTAAGATTAGGTAAGCATACGGGATGCTTGCATGATGCCAGCACACATAGAGTCCAAGCTCTGAATCATTTTTTTTACAACACTTCTCTTTAACTTCACTTCTTGTTGTTTGCTTGTTTGTTTGTCTGTCTGCTACAAATATAGTAATCGAAATTTAATACACTTCTACTTATCCTATCGATCTGAAATTTTGCACACATGTGTAAAGTTGGAGATAATGCACGAAACAAATGTCAAAATAAATTATTTTAAAAATGACACATTTTTTTAATAGTAAAAAATTGAAAAAATAATTTTGTCAGCTACAAATCGTATAACTGATATTTGACACACTTTTACCTGTGTTTTATGTTTTATGCCCAAGCTTACCTCCTCTACCCTGAACACCTTTACAGCCGCTGACTGAGCCTCTTATTCTCAAGTCTGTAACCGAGTTTTTACAGCACTTTGGAAACTTTACAATTTTTACTCAACTTGATTCAGTTTTAACTTGTGTTTTTTTAGCTCTTGCATTTCATGATGGCTGCTGGTCAGAGAGGAAAAAAATTAATTGAGAAGGCCTCCAGTCCTCTTAAACCGAATTCGAAGATCAAATTGCAAAATGAGCGAGGAGAAATTTGTAAATTTTGCAAGCTGGGATCGCTTAACGTCAATGACGCTACAGTAGCCTTAATTGATTAAGGTGAGGCGCGTTAATTGATTAATTCAAATTGCATGAATCAAATTAATTGATTCATGCATTGCCTCTGACTTCACACAAGTGTGCAAAATTTCAGATCAATTAGGTAGACAGGTAAAAGTGTGTCAAATATCAGTTAGGTATAAGATTTGTAGCTGACAAAATTATTTTTTCAATATTGAAAAAAAAATTAAATTTTAAAAATCATTTATTTTGACATTTGATTCATGCATTGTCTCCAACTTTGAACAAGTGTGCAAAATTTCAGATCGATAGGATAAGTAGAAGTGTATTAAATTTCGATTACAAGATTTGTAGCAGACAGACAGACAGACAAACAAGAAGTGAAGTTAAAGAGAAGTGTTATAAAAAAAATGTATATATATTTACAAAATTGAAAAGGTAATTTTTTTTAATATTCGAAAATTGAATGAGAAATTCATTGTACATCTGTAAGATTGGAGACACTGGATTCTTTGGAAGTGTTGTCTTTAAAAAGTAATTTTTAAACGTATATTATTTCTTGGGTAAGCACGCTAAAGAGCACAACAGCCTAAGAAGATAGATGCTTCAAACCATATAGAGCCGTATGTCCACAGGTATATAGGGGCTTCACTGGCTTGTAAGGAACAGGGAGTGGTGGTTGAGCTACCTTATGATCATCATATCTAAATTAATAACGACTGATTGTATAATTATGTTTATTAAAAACTTATATTCGGGCAACATTATATTGAATTTGGAGGCATTTTTGTAAGAAATAATAATAAGTTTATAAATTAACTTAAAATTATTTAGAGGACTGATTCCATTTCTTATTTCATACCTCAGGGTCGCTTATGCAACCTAAGTAGGCCAAATGAGGCTAAATTGGCCCTAGATTAGGCGCACTGGCAAAGTGTTGATTTACCAAACACTGACGAAGAACATCATTTGATTTAAAACCTTGTGTTGCAAGTTAAAAAGTAATTTTGAAATGTTGAGTTTCATTGGTGACCGCAATGCTACTCAACAAGTGGTTGTTGAGTTCCATTGAAACAAAGGAACAGTGGCTCTCAAGGCTGAGAACCACTGAGCGAAATGGGCACAATTGACGGGAGCGCAGGTGTGGACCACAAATTTTACTCTTAAATAATCCCTTTAGCCAACGTCTATGCCTTATCGTATAATGTAAATTCGGAATCAATCTAATCTATATTTTTATCTGGGGACCGTAACCTCAGTCACAACATGGACCACTACTCCAGACGCAGCTTTAAACCCAGTGATTAAAGTTCAGAGTAACATGATAGGAGCAGAGAGGTGCAGGTTTGATCCCAATTCTGTGCGTCAGTTTCTGGTCAGAGTCGGCAATGAGGCCGTGCGGTTAAGCAAAGCAAAATTGAAGCAGTGAGTTCAAGCCCGCAACAAGCTGTGGATGTTCTGCAACGTTTAGAATCGGCGACAGGCCTCCGGCCTACTGAACGCTGAAACCGCTATTTTATATTAGACACAAATATGAGTAAGGACAGACTGAGAGTGAAGACTGAAGAGGTTTTGACGGAGGAACATATACTGCAATACACTTCAGTATCCCAACTCGACTAGGATCGTCGCAGCTTTAAACTTTTTGTAGAATAATTCAAGGTTCGAGTAACACGATGAAACTTCATACATGTTTTTGTAATGATAAATCCTACTGACGAGAAACAAATACTGACGTTTACTTTGAAGTTAATCGATTTCGCGCTCTGAAAAAGCGGTAGACTTTAGCATTATCGAGTTTGATAGATAACACCTGGTTGTTATCTCCCCACAGGTCAGCTTCACGTTCTTGTTGCCGAAGAAGTGAGCTCGTCGCTGTCGCCACATGCAGTGCAGACGGAACTGATATCGATGAAAGTTCCTCTGGCCTCCTCCCTCAAACAGCTGCCTCGGAGCTGTTTCAGTAGTTTTAGTAAAAGCAAATGATTATGAACGATTTTCTAACTTTTCGCGCCCCCGACATTTCTATGCTCGTTTAGTTAATTAAATAAGGACATAAAATAATTATATTTTCTCAATATATACAATAATAAATTTGATGACTTAGCAACTTCAACACTCCGTAGCGTTCTCGCGCTTCACTTCATGCAATGACTTCATTGTTCACTTTAACTTGTAGCGGATGAGCACCGAGCATTAACTGTCCACTGTTCAATACCTCCAGAAGGATAGAGCTGCAATCTGCAAATTATTTTATCTTTTGATAATTATTGGTATATTTTTAAATTAACTTCGGTCTACTTCTCAGTGCCCGACATTTCATGTCTGCAGATTCGTGTTGTACAAACCATGTTAGACTTGCTACGTCGCAATTAAATACAAATTTGCTGTGATGTTCAAGATGTTCGCACTGTGCTAATCCTAAGTTATGCGTAATAATTTTAACAGCCCATGTTAAGGCTGCAGACAACCCCGAGGATGCAATAAAAATATTTCGGAATCAGGGTACCGAATTTTGTTTAAATCCGAGCATGTTAACCCACGACGGAAATCACTGCAAGAAAGATCCGACGTTCTAACATTACCGATCGCTTAGATTCGTGCCTTCCAAATGTCAGCCTAAATCGTTGATAGCCTAGGGTCAATTACCCCTTATTTATTTATATTTATATTATTTATTATTATATTTATATTTATTTATATTATTTATATTCCCTTTAGTTATTTTTTTCTAATTATACTTAAACTTATTATACTATACGAGGTGTTGGGGTAAGCTCATTTTAGCAATTTACCCCTGGCGGGAAAGTTGTGTGTGCTCAGTGTTACTGGGTTGGGGGTGCACATGTTTCGTAACGAATTCAAGTAGCCAAATCTGGATTACAAGAATAAACTCCACCGTAGTTCAGGATATAGCTCTTAACATAACATAACATAACATAGTGATGTCGGCGCTGAAGTGTAGGCCTGATGTGGCCTGTCGCCGATTCTTTTCCTTTCGTGCCTTTTCATAGATCTAAACTCGTGTCATTTGACCGGATCTTTTCATGACTGGCGATAGTTTGAAGTAGCTACTATCTAGTAGCTACTTCAAACTATCGCCAGTCATGAAAAGATCCGGTCAAATGACACGATTTTAGATCTATGAACAGGGCACGAAAAGGAAAAGAATCGGCGACAGGCCACATCAGGCGTACACTTCAGCGCCGACATCACTATGTTATGTTATGTTAGAAGCCCTAGTCTATGCGGTAGGTTGTTGGCATCTCGGTGCGACTAGTTCCCGTACCATTTGCATCTTTGTGATTCTTTGCGGTGCATCAGGGCTAGAACCCCTAGTCTCTGCGGCTGTTCGTTGGCATCTTGGAGCGGCTAGTTCCCGTACCATTTGATATCCACTTTGTCACTCTCAGCTGTGTATTAGGGCTCAAACTGTGTGTTTTCTCGGCTGTTTGTACTCCTGAAGTGTCAAGCCTTTTTCCGTGAACTTTTGGACTAAGACGAATAATAAATTGTGCGCCTCGTATGAAGAAACTTGTAAATTGAATGAAGATTACCAGTATACTACGAAAAGTTCCTTGTATTCATTCCTCCTCTCTCCTACGCAAGGGAATTTAGAGCCGGATCCTAGAGCGACTCTTTAGCCCTTGTTTTTTAGGATCAGTACGAAAGTCTACATAAAGTCGGCACGCTACCCGAAATTATTTCAACTTCGCGGCGGTGTTTCCGGTTACACGTGGGACGACCCTCTCAAAGAGGAGCATAGTCAAGAATGGTTAGCAATATCCTCTAATGAACATGTAAGAATGTTATCCGCAATACTGCGTGGAATAGTAGCTGTTGCAAGGCCTTGCCAGTCAAGTTAGAGCACTTTATCTCTGGTGTCCTTGCGAGGCTGACTGAGCTATTATAGGCTTTAGTACGCTATTCTCAAGTACAAGTGAATTTGGAATACTGCTCTTCAATTAGTGTCTATATGAATATGGATTATTGTATTTTGGATTATTGAATTATCTTCCTGTATTGTTCATTTCGCTGTGTATTTATTGTGTAATTTAATAATTTCGGCAGGACAGAGCGAAGTCCCTCTCCTCTCTTAGTCTCTATAGTTAGAATAGTTTTTAGCGCATTTTCTCATTTAATGAAAAAAGGCGCTATTGTGCTCGTCGTGTCCGTCCATCCATCTTCTGTCTGTGACTTCACGTTTTGCGCTCTCTGTCACTCACTGCAGTGAGTACTAAGTTATATTTTTATTATGATTGCGATTCTAAGCTGCTGGGGTTTCCTGAATAAAAATAAAGACTTTTGATCTATTAACTGAACCCGACATCATCACAGAACAACAATTGAGTTATTCCCCTTAGTCCTTACCAGCGTAATACCATTGACGCCAATGCGATCATAGTTACTTCCTCATTGGAGTCAATGGTTTTATACTGGAAGGAAAAATCACTCAGTAGTTGCACAGTGAAGGATATTGCCTTCCATTCTTGACTATGCTTGTTGAGAGCGTTGTCCCACGCATATTTCGCTCCTCAGAGCTACACGTCTCTTCTTCAAAAATATCATGATGTGTGAGGCGACCATGCGCTGCACAGACTCAGAGTCTAGTCATTCAATTGCAATTAAAGTTGCGGCTTTGACCCATGATTGAACTAGTTCAATCATGGCTTTGGCCGGCCCGGAATATGTTATAATTATTATCAAAATCCGTCGTTTATGTTTGTACGCTTGTCGTTACTGGCCGCCTGGCGGTTACTCATTACTCTCGTCGGGGTTCTGCTGTCGGACGGACGTGTGTCTATAGCTGTTCGGTTGTTGGGGTACTCGACGCCAATCGTTCGTTTTCCCTGATAATTTGAAGAGACTTGACATCCGATAATTGTTTTTTGTGGGCCTTATTTGTAGCAAATCATATATTCATACGTTCTATTTAGTTTTATTTTTTTTTTTGCTACTTGTTTTTTTTCTATTATTTTCTTATTTTTTTTCGTTTGCCGCCCCTGAGCGTGTGCTGCCATGGCAGACGCGATAGGGT